AGGAAAATCCAGCATCCTTCCCTTTGCTTGGAGCAGCTCTGAAGGTTGCCTGCTTAAAATCTGCTGTAGGATCAGCTGAGGCCTCTGCAGAGACTCTACTCACCCAATCCTCTTTCCTTCCTTCCCTTTTCAGATGCTGATTCTGAATGCAACCCATAATAACCCTCCTGCATGTTCATCTCTAGCTTGTGGTCCTGAGAAGCCTGATCTCCAGGTGTCAGTGCTAGGAGTGCTCTGAGAAAGCAGATGCTGGATTGACATGGGGGATGAAGAGGATGATGGGTCACTCACCACCCAGCTGGTAACAAAGACAATATCCATCAGCAGCTAAGGGACACTCAGGAAAGGTCCTAACAAAACAGGATGACATGGTAGTAGAAAGGAATGTATTAACTGACACTTAGTGAATTGTGCTTTTTTGGTTGTTTTCTGGAGACAAGCTGCCCTGGAGCTTACTGTGTAACTCGTGCTGGCCTTAAACCCACAGCAATCCTCTTGCCTCACCTCATGTGCTGAGATTACAAGGGTGAGCCATAGCATCTGGCCTGTGAATCAGACTTTTTGGAAAATGCATGAGAAGTGTTAATTATAATGATAAGAGAATTTGCTAGCTATTGCTCAGTGCTGTTAATAATCTGAGGAAAAATGCATCAAGATGAAAGCAATTCATTGACAGAAAAAAATTTTAAATAATGGTCTAAGTGAGGTAGAAACGCTTCAATTGACAGACATGACTTCAGGCCTTCACAAAGTGGGCTTTGAGAAGATATGTATAAAGCCCAAATCACCACCGAGTAACTGTTTCATGGACTTCAGGGACATGCAGTTTACTAAAGCAGTCAGGAATGTAAGGTGAAGGGGGAACCAGAATGCCCCCAGGAGATCATAAGGGTTCTTCTGTACAGGCCAAGGCTGGTCTAAGGAAATACTACTACTTAACGGGATTCAGAGACAGCAAGAGATGATAGAGAGAAGGTGCCCTCCAAAACAAAGAGAAGGAAGGCAGCGTGTAACCACCTGAACATCAGAAGCCTGCTAGCATAGACCTGCTACATGAGACCCAATCACAAAAATAGAGGATAGATGACAGATAGATAGATAGATGATACAATCATACGTACGTACGTACGTACATGCATACATACATACACAGATAAAAAGGAGGAAGGAAGGGAATGAGGGAAAGGAACACAGGGAAGGAGTGAAGAGCTTCTAGGGAGGAGAACAAATAGCTTTTGCTTTTTGTTTTTTGTTTGTTTGTTTGTTTGTTGTTATTGTTGTTCTTTAGGTATCATGAACAGTTTTTAAGACAACAAAGGTGTGTGGACTGTAGTGTCCCACGAATTTAATCCCAGCACCTGGGAGGCAGAGGCAGGTGGATTTCTGTGAGTGGAGGCCTACAGGTCTACAAAGTGAGTTGCAGGATGGTCAGAGCAACATAGAGAAACCCTGTCTGGTGGGGGTGGGGGAAGGGGGGGACAAAGACGTGATAAAGTATGTGCTTGTCTGCTCATCTGTGGCCATGGTTTTGGTGGCCTCTTTAGAACCATAACAGGTCTCTGAAGTGAGTATCTATGGCTAAGTTTACTGTCAGTCCCCCCTGAATAGATGACCACCTC